CTATTATCTACCACAGAGGGGGATGAATTTGCAACAAGACGTGACACACAGGATTACAAAAGATGAAACAGACCACTAGGATGACGTAAAAAGCTTTTGCCGAAATAAAATAAATGTGGCTAGAAGACGGAAAAAGATATGGTCTAGAGAAAAAACAAACAAACAAACAAAAAAAAAACTTTTGACAAACTCTCTCCTACAAAAATCCAACATCCAAAATAATTAACAAGCCACAACTGCAAAGATAAGAGTGAATCAGTCTCCAAAAACAAGGATGTTAACGATCGAGCGTCGCCAGAAAACGTGCTGCTAGAACTGCTCCTGATTGGGGAAACGCGGGCCGAAAGCAGCTCGGCGACGCACAAAGTTGGTCAGAAGCACATGCTCACTTCACCGCTGGCAGAGCTCTGAATGATCCCAAGCATTCTGGCAAATGAGGGGACTCACGCAACCATCTCTGCCTCCTAACTCAGCAATCCCTCCCCCCAGAAAGTTACCGAAAACAAGCAACGAGGACATTCCCGGAGCGTCGCGCGCCTGAGTTTGCTGGGCTCGGGGAGTCTGCCATTTCACCGCAGACATCAAACAGGGATGGATACGAGAAGGTGAACCACGCTGTGGAAAATGCTCTACGGTGCGGGTTCAGAGAAACGGGCAGCCCTCTCGGCTCCCTTTGGCTCAGTCCGCGGGCCCAGGCACGCCCGGCTGCTCTCGCACCAAACGTCCTCTTTGGTTTTCTGAGAATCCCTCGTCTACTACGTCATTAGAGGCTTGACCAATGACCGCTGCTCGCTCTCCTTGCTTCCCTCTCAAACTCTCTTTCACTCTGGCCTCTTAGAATACAAGCTCCCTGAGGGGAGGGGGCGTCTAGCGTGCTGTGTGTATCCTGGGCTCTAAACTCTGACCTGGCATCGAAAAAGTTCTCAACAAACACTCCATCCATGACCCATTCTCCTCACTGCGCATCATCTTCCACCCTCCTTAACAAGAACGCCCTCCCTCTTACCCCTCCATCCATTTCTCATCCCTGAGAATTCGGGTTCCTTACTGAAGACACTGTCTCTTCTGACGCCACCAGGGATCCTAACGAGCGAGTCCAGGGTCTTCTTCGCTGACCTCTTACTCAGCTTCGGATGAGGATATGACACTGTTGTCCACTCTCCAGCCTCAGTCGGGGCCTCGAGGCCCCACTCTGCGTTGTTCTCCTGCTCGTATCTCACTCTTTCTGTCAGACACAGTTACCTGTGCCTGCTATGTTTACACCCAAATACAGATGCTGCCCCCTCACGCCTGGACTACTGCAGTAGCTTTAGGGGGTGTAGGGGTCTGCCTGCCCCACCAAAGTAAGGCAGGTCCGGCCACGTCACCTCCTTATTCGATGATCTCAATGTGATTCCCTACGGCCTCCAGGATCAAGTACAACACACTGGTGGGTGTTTAAAGCCCTCTATAACCTGGCCCCTTCCCACCTTCCCTCACTTGGCTCCCCTGCCCCACTGACTGTAATCCGGTGACCCCCTAGCCTCCTTGTTCTTCCTCTAACAAGATGCTCCAGACTCCAGGCCTTTGTCCTGACAGTCCTCCCTCCTCATCTCCACATCCCATCCTCGTTCAGATCTCAGCTCCCGCCAGAGCAGGGGCTGCCTTAGCTTTCTTTGTGTCCCCAGCCTTATACAGTGCTTGACACTTAGCAGGAGCTTAACAAATGCTTAGGGCAGCTAAGCACAGTGGATAAAGCACCAGGCTGGGAATCAGGAACATTCGTCTGGCCTCAGACACTCACTAGCTGTGTGATCCTAAGCAAGTCACTTCATCCTGTTTGCCTCAGTCTCCTCATCTGTAAAACGACTTGGAGAAGGAAGTGACAAACCAGTCCTTTGCCAAGAAAACCCCCAATGGGGTCACAAAGAGTCGGACAGGCCTAAAACAACTTAACAACAGCAATGTTTACTGACTGATACCACAATCTTTTGTGAATTTATCTGTCCCATCCTCTTACCCAGCGAGCCTTTCCTCCTAATAGGGACTTTTAAAAGACAGAGTTTAGAAAAACCCACTGGCCTGCACCTGACAGTCCCTCACTACTATGAGGAAGGTTTGGAAGCAGCTGGGCCACCAGCATCATTGCCTCTGGTTTCCCTGGGCCAGGCACGCAGGGACAACGAATGCTCATTGCTGATTTACAGCGCTGTTGCCAGCAACACTGTTTGCCCTGCTCCCTCTAGAAATACTGCTGCATCAAGCGTGTTGGGTTTAATCTCTGGGCCACAGCTTAGTCTGCTGGAACTGAACTTCTTGGGGACAAATCCTCCTCCTTGTCAGACACCGGCATGCTCCCCACCACCCTCAGTCCTCTCATTTTTAGGATGCCACCTTGTTGCCTGGCCTGCACAACGTCTGTCCCGTGGGTCACTTTGGCAGGCCACTTGTGGCCCTCTGGTCGGATGTTGTGCAGGCCACCATAAATCCTTGGCGGGTCGTAAGTGGCCTTCAGTATCGCACAGGGCTGCTTTAGAGCACGGGTCTGCTTGGAGGGGAATATGGTGTTAGATGTTGGCATAAACCCTACTTCTGCCAAGCTCCTTCCCAGCGTTTGAAGCCCCTGACTCAAGTCCTGATCCCTAGCGTCTCAACACCAGAATGCTCTTTGATTGGTTCTACCTGTTGCTTGGCCTTTCTATGCCAGTTCATCTGTAAGGGTGGGAGTCAACTGAAGGGACAAAGGAACGCATGGCTCCACGCCATGTAAAGTAAACAGCAAGGTGCTCTAGTTCTAATTCCTTTCTCAAGGGGCAACATCTCTACCGAATCAATCAACTAACCAAAAACATTTAACTAGGCACAAAAAGTCCTTAGTCAATTTGGAAGGAAGGAGAGCAGCTCAATGAAGGAAGTGACTATGGCTAGGAAGTCTAGGCGGTGGCCGAAGGTGCTCCGTAAAGCCCTCTGGGTTTTGGGTAAAGTAAGCAGGCCCTTTGGAGGCACAATTCTGGTGGTGGGCCAGCCAGCGAGGTCATCCGCAGCCACAGTTCTCCAGGAGTCACTTGGCAGAGAGGGAGGCCTCCTTGACCACAGCATGCCCATGTGAGCTTCTCCTGGTGTCTGTCCAACAGTGCCCTGGGACCAGCAGGCCACTTCAGGAAGGGGCGAGGAGGCCAGCAGGAAGCCACACCCTACCTACCCCAGGGAGGGGGAGACAAGGGCAGCCAGCAGCCAGGAGTCGGGAGTTACACCTGGTGGAGAGTGGGTCTCAGACCCCGAAGAACGTTTTTTGGGTTTATTTGTACTAACTGTTCTGGCCCTAGGAACCTGATGTGCCAGCATGAGGGGAGGTCTTGACTGTGAGCCCACTGCCTGCATAGATAAATTTTTACCCACAACAATTTACAAAACATAGCTCTGAGAGTTATTGCTTTCTAAGGTAGTTTGAGATCTAGTAATGCTAAGCCCCCTTCATTCATTTTCATGACCTTTCTTGTTCTTCCAGGGTATTTTTCTATGTCCATAGAGTAATCATATTCTGCACTGCCATTTTTATTATGTTGGCATGGCTCAAGCATGAACAATCAATTAAAATAACAAAAAATCATTGAAGTCTTGCTTTGTTTCTATTGTATAAAGAGAGACAGTACAGCCTAGAGATTATAGCTGGCCAAGAGGCCAGGAAGCCCTGCATTCAAGTCCCACCTCTGACACACCCCGACAATTTCACCCTGGCCCAGTCACTTAGCCTTGGTCCTCACGGTGACTTTGTAAGCCTGGAAGCTACATTAGAAGAGGAATGGCCTTTCTGTACCAACCAAGTCTGGTGACACAGCGGGTGGAGATCCAAGTCCGAAGTCACGTGACCCTGGGCAAGTCAGGCGACCTCTCCCTGCCTCAGTATCCTCCACTACAAAGGGAGAACAACAACACTTCCTTCACAGGGTTGTTGTGAAGACCCAATGCAAAGTACTCAACGAAGTGCATGGCAGGCAGTAGGCACTTAATAAATGCCTGTTCCCTTCTCGCCCTCTCCTCCTGCCCCTGAAGAGTTTTATCATCCACCTCAGGCTTGAGCAGGCCCCTGTGTTGGGGGGACTGAATGCCTGGCTGCCCCTGGGCCTGAAGGTGTCGGAGCTAGACTAGCAGGGGAAATCCCTCAATGGGAGTTTCCTGAATCAGTGAATTCCAGGTCTGCGATAAGACAAAGAGGAGAGAAAACACCTCACTTCCCTCTGTTAAATGGGGGGCTATGGGTGGCCAGGGTGGACCGTCATGTAGACGGTCCACAGTGATTAATGCGCTCCCTGGCTTGGCTGAACCTCACTTCTGGTGTTCAGTCTTGGTTACAAGGGAAGGCTCACTGGGACGGTGAGAGGGAAGAAGGCATTTGGGAATGAAGGTGATATTACAAGCCAAAAGTAACAATAAAACTTCCTAAAATATAAAATGGGGGGCAGGGATGGGCAAGATGGCCACTCCAAGCACGGCAGAGCATGAGGAAGTAGGGAAGCTATGGAGAGCACGAATAGAGAATCAACAAACTACATGCACTTACTACCGGCTTTTTGTTTTTTTAAATAACATAACGCTAACAATAATAATAGCTAGCATTCATGTAGTGCTTTAAGGTTTGCGAAGCACTTTACAAATATGATCTGATTTTTTCCTCACGACTGCTCTGGGAGGGAGGTACTGTGATTGCCCCCATTTTGCAGATGAGGAAACCGGGGGAGACAGAAACAAACGGGAAGGAAAGATCCAAAGGGCAGACAAAAGCACACACAAAACCAACCTATGCACAGGAGAACAGGGAGAATAATGGAAGGATGCCCACCACGGAAAAGGTCACCTGCCCCACCAGCAGAGGCATGGATGTGCCAGCAATGTGACTCACGGAGGCAGAGACAAGGCCCTGGCCTGGGGCGGGAGCTGGCTGAGCACGTGCAGAGGACATCCCCCAACGATCAGCTGAGCAGATGCTGGCAAAGACTGAGCACCGAGGGGCCCTCACTCACCCCGACAGGCGCCTCCAGGGACGTTGCCCTCCGGCATCCAAGGAGCTTCCCCTCGTTCCAGCTGGTCAATCACCTCTGGTTTGGAGGCTGCAAGTCCTGCTTGGGGAGATGGGAAAGTGCTGGAGCCCCCCAGCCCCCCAGAACCCAATCCCGGCCCCCTTCTCTTCCAGGAACACGGGTATGGAGGGAGGCCCAGCAGACACTGGGAGAGATGGGGTGAGAGGTCCTTTGGACCCTAGGAAGAGGTTAGAGCAGAGGTGAGCTTGGAAAGAACATTAATTTGACCTCCTCCATTGTAAGAGGCTGGGGACCACTCTTATCTTCAGGCACATGCACTGGCATTTCCGGGGAGGTTCAGGGGGTCATATAATCAAGCTACCAGTTTCCAGTTTGTGAAAGCAAAGCCATGTCACCTAAGAACTGACAGTACCTATTCGTATCCTACCTTTTGGTTACAAAAGGATTGGTTTTCAGAGACCAGAGATTTTGAGACAGCTCCTAACATTTCTTAAGGGGTAGCCAGGACCCTCTCACAGGCAAATGCTGAGTGTCATGGGAGTCCTCCTTACCCAGGCACACCAGGTTCCTGTAATTTTCCAGTATGACATCCCTGTACAAGTCCTTCTGAGAAGGGTCCAGGTGCCTCCACTCCTCCTGGGTGAAGTCCACGGCCACGTCATTGAACGTCACTGATTCCTGAAATAGCAACGACCATTGTGCTTACCCAGGGACTGTCCCTTAGATGGATCTGAGAGAAGTGAAGTTGGCATAAATCGTAGGGTTTTCAGCATTTCAGCTTAGGCATACTCTACATCAGACATGTAGTAAGTGCCTACTGTGTGCCTCAGTTTGTACTAGAGACTCTGAATCACATAATAAAATGATAACTAAACGTACAGAGGAATTTTTGGTTTACAAAGTAATTTTTCTGTGACAGCCCCATGAGGCAAGTGAGAAAGTCTGACTACCCCATTTTCCAGAAATGACAGTGAATCTAAGAGGAGCTGAGTGATGTTCTCATGGCCCTGGAGTTAGTCAGTATCAGAGCCAGGCTTTCAGACTTCTAGCCCAGGGCTCCTTCCAAGCTGCCTCTGCTTCAGCAAAGCCCGTTCAGCCTTCCTTACTGGGTGTGTTTTACAAGGGTTTCTCTGGGCTGCCTGTTTCCATGCTGGGGATCATTTCTGCCTGGGCCTTCACTTCCCACCTGCCTCCACACCTTATTCCTTTCCCCCCACTCAAAAGCCCAACCTAATGTCAGGCCAGCGTTTCTTCACTGTCCCAAACTTGAAGCACCAAATGAGGCCCAGACTAATAACAAAAATAAAAGTAACTAACATTTAGGTAGAGCCTGAAGGCCTGAGCAGCATTTTACACGTTACCCTGTTCATCCTAGAAAGAGAAAGTGAAAATCCTAACCCCAGTTTTTCAGCCGAGGGGCGGACTGAGGTCCTCAGGAAAACAACCAGAGCCCATCACAGGTCCTCTGCAATCTTTCTCTGAACACAACTGGAATTTAACGCTTGGGCCAACTCCCACGGATGTCAAACAACACAAGAAGGTGCAAAAGTAACAAGTATTAGAGAGGAAAAAAGAAAAAACCAAGTATCAGTTTCGGTCTCCTTCCTACCTGCTCAGACCGATGGAAGAGAAGGCAGGAAGATCCGAGTTCAGATCTTGACTCACTTAGTGACTTTGGGATCTTTGTATCCTCAGCACTTTGCACGGTGCTGATACAGAGGAGGCCCTGAGTCAGTGCTTATGGACTGTCTTACTGGCACCGTGCCTCAGTTCCCTCATCTGGAAAAGGGGGATAATAAAGGCATTTCCCTGCCGGGGTTGCTGTGCCTGACTGACTACTTGTGACCCTCTAGGCTAGGCTCTGGGGGGCCAGGAGGAGGGGAGAAGGCAGCTCAGTGCCCTGCGCTCAGGGACCCGCACACTCCTCCTCTCTCCGAGCCTCTGCCCCGCAAGCACAGAGTGGGGGTGTCGAGGACTTGCAAGCACAGAGACAGACCACCGCGGACAGCGACTCGTCTGTCCTTCCCAGCATGCCTCGGGCCGAGCTGGGCAGCCTCCAGGGATGCCTGGGCCAGGGAGGCAGGCCGGCTGCAGAAGGGCGAGGTCCCGGCTAGCAGGAGGGGGAGCACAACGGGGGGAAGGGCCGGCTTCGGGGCGACAGGGCCCGGGGCGCTCATTATCTGCCGTGATGGTGACCACGGCCCACATCCACGCGGGGACCGAAGGGCCTCCTGCTGCCCAAAGTGCCGGGACGGACTGGAAGGCTCCTCCTCTGCCCCTCCCCCCGCCCCTCCCCCAGCCCCCGCCCCCGCCCCCGGCTCACCTGGCAGGCCTTCGCTGTCAGGAGCACCGGGGCCATGGCCTCCTCTTCCTCACCCTCGCCCGCAGCAGGAGGCCGGGGGCTTCCAAGGCAAATCTGGGGAGCAGACGGCGCCCCTGAGGAGGGCGGGAGTGGTCGGCCCTTCGGGCCCCCTCCCCCAAGAGGGGGGCAGGGCCCGGGTCTCGGCCGTCCTGGGGAGGGCGGTCTCGGAGGCGGGGGAGGGGGGTCGGAGCCTGCCCACGCTCAGGGAGGGGGGAGGGCGGAGAGGTGGGGGTGGGGTCAGAGCTGGGCCGGACACGCCCCCACCCCCTCACCTGCTGTTCTCCCCTTAAGGAGTTAAGGCCAAAAAAGATCCCTGCTTTGGGGGAGGGGGCGTCAAATCCTCAGGTTTTAATTAGGTGGGGGGGAGGGAGAAGAGATCAGAGAGAAGGGAATGATGAGGGAGGGGCCTCGAGCTCCTCGCGGAGGCCCCAGCGAAAGAGCGGCGCTGATTGGCTCGGAGGCCACCGGGCGACCAATGGAGGAGCGACTCGCCAAGGGGGCAGGGCGTGAACTGCGCAGGCGCGCTACCATCGGCCCGGCGCATCGCTTCCCCTCTCGGCACCCCCTTCCTCTCCCCGAGACTACGAAAACAGGCGCCGGCGACCTAGCGCCCCACCCGGGCTCAGGCCGCCCTCGGACCCCTACTCACTCTGGCCCCGTACCAGGGCTAGGACTGCGGCGACGGCGGCGGCCGAGGATAGAATTGAGCTGAGGCGGCCGCGAGTGCAGAGGGTGACGAGAATCCGGGAGGGAGCGGAAGTAACGTCTCCGTGGCAACCGCGACGGAACTCGGCCCGGAATCCGTCGACATGCCGAACAGCCTTTTGGGAAGTGTAGTTCGGAGACCCGGGTGGTCTGTTGCGCATGCCTAGATCGTCTGCCGGGCGAGAGTGGTGGGAGGCGGGGTTCTTCTCCAGCACATACTCCTCCTCCGGTCCCGCCCCTTGCTTCGGGAGCCTAGGCTGGGCTGCTCTCCCTCTAGTTCCCTCCATGTGTACTGGGAGCTCTGAAGCTGTTTTGCTTTTTTTTTTTTAAAATTCAATTGTTAAAAAATGAAATAAAATAAAATAAAATAAAATTCGGGCGTACGCCAGCTCGGGTGCTGTGGAAGGCGGGATAAGAGCCCCTGGGGCCCGCGGGTCCAACCCCCTCATTTGCCTGAGGAGGAGCCTCAGTGAACGGAACTGGCCTGAGTCTGGTGCCTCGCATTGCGCCACTGGTTGTGAACAAGCCAGGGCCCCACTCCTGCATCCTCCGCCCGAGGATGGGAGGCCCAGGCCGGGGTTGAGGCGCAGTCCAGCCAGGCACCTGCCCTCAAGGGCCAGTGGTCTGGGCAGGAGCTGACCCCTCCTCTCCCCCGGTCCCAGGAAGTACGTGTAACTGACATGGGGGCGGGGCTTCACAGGAGGGGCCCCTTAGGGGGACACCCCCCCCCAAGCCCGGGACGCGAGGCTAGCCTCGAGCCCAGGGCCTGGCGGGGCCGCTGGCCGTGGTGCTGCGGGCAGCTCCCGATGGCACCGCGCGAAACCCCAGCGCGGACCCCGGCGGTCCGGAGCCGAGGCCTGCCCAGCGAGCCCTGGTTAGCGGGGTTTTACCTCGCCCGTCCCTAGCCTGACCATGCTGGGAGCCGCGCAAAGCGGCCTAGAGACCGAGTGCCGGTAATGGAGTGGGGCGACTCATCAGTTTCGGGGGAGGAGCGTTCTCCTAGCCGAAGTAAAAGCACGGGTTATGTTCCTAAAGCACAAGCGGAGAGCGAAGGCGGATTCCAGACGATGGTTCAGTGGCTTCCCACGAGGAACCCGCAAGTGCCACAACACAGCAGCTTTGGAGTCAAGTCTGGGGGGGTCGCGACCACCTCCCCTGGGGTGCAGAGCCAGAGTTCTGGGACCCGAGCAGGTTCTACCATCTTTGATTCGCTTCACTTAAGGTCCAGCGCCTGTGAACGTTGTCTCACAGTCAGTTAACACAATGAGTCAGAGAGTCAGGTTAAGCTGCATTATAAGGCAACCCTTGAGAAAACCAAATTATTAGTATATTCATTGCACGTATATACATCGGTTAATAGAAACGTGATAATTCCATACCCTTAATGAGCTTTTGTCATTCACTCAAATCCTGGATAACAGATTCCTGGGGCACTCCACTGGAGACCCTTCCCAGCTGCCCTCTAACCACTCCTGGCCATTCAGCCAGTTCCCTCTAAGCGACCCCTGCCCATCCCTCCACAATGTGCTAAAAGCCCTCCGAGGAATAAGGAACCACCTCCTCTTCTGCATCAGTCAGTGGGTCCACAGGGATTGGTCAAGGGTTTATTCTGTGCCAGGCCCTGCACTGGGCCTTGGGCCTTGGGATGGGGTAGGGGCACTTTTTAGCTCTTGGTGGGAATTCTGGGATTTGGTGCCAGGGAAGGTCAAATACTTCTGTTGCCAACAGCAACACCCACAGGACACATTAGCAGTTATGAGGTTTGGGTTTGGAGTCTGGAAGACCCGTGTTCAAATCTGGCCTCGAGCACTTACTGGCTGGGTGACCTGGGGCAGAGCACTTAGCCTCTGTGTGCCTCAGTTTCCTCCTCTGTAAACTGGGGGTCATATCAGCACTCCCAAAGATATTGTGAGGATCAAATGAGATCGTATTTGTAAAGCGCTTAGCACAGTGCCAGGCACATAGGGGCTGAATCAATCGATGCTTGTTCATTTCCCTCCTTCCCTCATACTTAATGAATTCCAGTGGCTTCCTATTGCCTCCAGGATCATTTCAGGATCAAATCCTCCGGCTTTTCAAGCCCTTCCAAACTGGGCCCACTATACCCTTCTAGTTCTCTCATACCTAACTCCTTCTGCTTCCCCATGCTCCAGGGATACTAGCCTTGCTATTCCACCAGCTTGATGGGGTTGTGATTGGCTGCGCCAGGCCTAGAATTCCCTCCCTCCTCACTGGGCCTCCCTGACGTCTGAGCCATGGTGATGGCTGATGGAGCCTTTGGCCTTCCCTGAGATTAGCTCCCGTTTACTGTGGCCGTATCTGGTCATGATTGTGCCATGTTGTCTCCCCCATGAGATTGAGCTCCTTAACAGCCTTGAACACTGCCCAGAACACAGGAAGAGCTTAATAAATGCTTGATTTGACTGTACCGGACTTCTCTTAGCCCATCATCAGCCAGTTGCCAGTCATCCATAGGGGAAGGGAGCAAGCATTTATTAAGCACCTACTATGTGCTGGGCATGCTGCTAAGTGCTTTACAGATATCTCATTTGGTCCTCACAACAACCTTGGGAGGTAGGGAGATTATCTCCAAATTGTAGAAGAGGAAATTGAGGCCAACAGGATGAAGTGACTTGCTCAAGGTTACCCCGCTACTAAGTGTCTGAGTTCATATTTGAACTCAGGTCTTCCCAGCACTCCATCCCCCTTTTTAAGGGATCACCGTAGCTTTGGTGCCACCTGCCTGTGGGCCAGGGCATCTGCATCCACATCAGTCTCCCAGGGCCAGTTGTTTATTCATAGTGGCCTAGTGCTGTTAGCCACTTTCGGCAGGTTGCACCCCACGTCAGTGGATGGTTGCTGCTCCAAGCTACAACTCTGCTGCTCACCTACTGTCTTGAGATCGCTTCAGAGCCAGACTTTCAGCTTCTGGAGGGGGACCCCTGGTTTCAGGTGGTCATCACTCCCCCAGGAAAAGCCCGCTCCCAGGTTCTCCTGTGTATATAGATGTACAGAGGGCATCTGGGTGCAGGACAGAAGCTAGTCTGGATCAGCCAGGGCCATCCCTGGTCCACATCTGTCCACCCATCAGTCTTCAGAGGCTTTGTGGCTTTGAAGACAACTTTGCATTTCTTGCCCTTGTGCTTTTGGGTTTCTTCAATCATGTGTGCTCGAGTGAGGCCACTTGGTGGTTTAATAATAGTAAAATCATTTTTGCAATAACACCACCAAACCCTAGAGGTGTCTTCAGAGATGTGGCTGAGTCAGGAATGCCTCTCTCTTTTTGGAGTATTCTGGGCCCAAAAGCTGAGCAGATGCAGCACAGCCTGACTTGAGCCTCAGTCACTGTCAACAGAGGGCAACATGACAGCCAGTGCCCAGACAAAACTGTCCTGGTAGCCACGCCCCCAAGAAACAAGCTGCCCCTGGCCCTCCTGCTCTCCCTTCCTCCCCAACCCACACAGCTCAACTGCTCTGATCATGCTCCTGCTTTCCCTGCTGCTCTGTGCGCTGCCAGGCGGGCAGCATGATAGGAGAGAGGCTGGGGCCTCCAGCTTCTACAGATCAACTTGCCTCAGTTTCCAGACTATGGCAGTCCCCAGCCTCTTCCCCACTGTGAGAGTGAATGATTCTGTGTGCTTTGTAGCCGATACTGGAGCACTGGAGCCCGTGAAGGTGCACTTCCTGAGGACTGTGTAGCAAAGAGGTCCTTTGGGATCAATCCCCAGCGCTCAGCCCAATGACCTGGCATCAGGAGTCCCGATGCGTGGGAACTCAGGGACTTTCTGCAGCCTCTATCTTGGTTCGTTGACATTAGGTGGCTTTGGGGCTTGGGCTCAGCAGGGGGCGCCGTGGGACTACCCTGGGCGAGCCATGGTGGGCCATCACAGTTGAGAAATTACCCAACCACATCCTGAGTCGGAAGGTGTCCCAGAGCCAGTCCATGACATGCCCCACCCACCACATGCTTCAGACTTTACCCGGAGAGGCCCCGTACTTAGAGAAATTCAATTTGGAAAGATATTTGCATGAAGCAATCCTCCATCTGCCCGGGGAAGTGGGGTGGATGTAAGCAGCGTCAGCACCCCTGCAGAGCCCCGGGAAGGAGAGCGTCTGCACCATGGCCTGGACGCCTCCTCATGTTCTTCACTCTCTGCAAAGGTGAGGCAACAGACCGCCTGGGCTTTTGGGGAGAAGGGGCGAGCTGGGCATGAAGCAGCAGGCCCTGGCAGCGATGCCCCCGTCTCCATTCCTGATATGTGTCCCTCCTCTTGGTTCCAGGGGCCAGTTCTCAGGCCGTGGTGACCCAGGAGCCGTCTCTGAGTGTGATCCCAGGAGGGGCAGTCACCCCGACCTGCAGCTCCAGCACAGGGCCGTCACCTCTGGGCTCTACCCCCACTGGTTCCAGCAGAAATCTGGCCAAGTTCCCAGGTTACTCATCTATAATACCAACACTCTTGTATCAGGGGTCCCAGCCCGGTTCTCAGGGTCCTTCCTTAGGGACAAAGCCTCCCTCACCATCAAGGGGGCCCAGCCTGAGGACGAGGCTGACTCCTGCTGTGCATGGTGGGAGACTCAGATGAGGAACTGAGACAAAAACCCGTGATAACCCAGAGTGGGTCCAGCTGCTGAAGGTAACAGGGATCTCTGTGGTGCCCAGCTTCCTGGCACAACAAGGGATGTCTACATCCTCTCTAAGGTCCTGCTTCCTGGGCTGCACACACTCCTGGGCCGCGTCTAGAACAGGACCCCAAGGCTATGTTCCCAGAGGAGCAGGGTCTACTCCACCCACAGAGCATTCCTCGAGATACATTTCTTAGTGGGGCAGCTAGGTGGCGCAGTGGATAGGGCACTGGCCCTGGAGTCAAGAGGACTTGAGTTCAAATTCGGCCTCAGAAATATAACACTCATGGGCGTCACTTAACCCTAATTGCCTCACCAAAAAAATAATGTATCATAAACAGAGATACATTTCTTGGTCTCCCTGCCCATGCCAGTGGGGGAGGGCCTTCAATATGGCTGCTGTAACAGCTTCCAAAATCTCTAGCACGGCATTGCTGTCTCTCTTCCCATCCTGGGCAGCCTGGACATCTTTTATTTGGGAGCTTTAGACTGCAGGTGCTCACTCTGCTCTGTGAGGGAGTGGCCACTGCTTGCTAGGAAGGTAGGTAGTCATCTTTGGGGTGGGGAGGGCGGAAGGAGACGGGACTAGTGATGGGGTGCCCCTCTCCAAAGAGAGAAGCAACAGAAGGAATCCCTGACAAGCAGGAGGCCAGCTTGGAAAGGGACATATTGAATTGATGATTTGCATTAAAGGAAAATTCAGCTATATAGAATAGGGATTTGAGAGTTAATGTATTCTCATCTACTCTTCTGTACTACAGTGTAGATGGAAATGCTCATTTTATTTAAAGTTAGTTGTTTTCAGATAAAAAAATAATTAAACTGAGAAAGCACCCAATTGTGTATCCTGCAAAGTGAAGAAATGCATAATACAGAACATAAACACGCTCCAATAAAACACACACACACACACACACACACAAACCATCATCCCGAGAAGCAAAGATTTTCCTGTCTGGGATATATCATCAGGAGAAGTCCCAGACCATTCTCTGGAGTGCATGAATAATAGCTAATTACTGGACATTTTTTTTTTCAATATGACAGGAGCATAAATACATGCGGTTTTTTAGTGTAAAAAAAATTTAAAGTCAAAGCCAACAAAACTAATGCATGCCCTGTTGGAAATCCTCCGTCTTCCTGTCCGACGCACTGTCCTCTGCCCCTCCCTCCCACCTCCCCATCCAGGCCCTCATCCTCTCATTCCTGGACTATGGCGATCACTGCTGGGCCATCTGCCTGCCTCAAGTCTCCCCACGCCAGTCCATCTCCTACTCAACCACTAATGCGATTTCCCTAAAGCTCCCATTGGACCACATCACGCCCCAACCCAATAGCCACGTATGGCTCCTTATCGCCTCCATGATCACACACTAAATCCTCTGGCTTTGAAAGCCCTTCACAACCCCATCCTTTCTGAACTTCCCCCTCTCCTTATACACTCTTTTCCTCCACACACCCAGTGATCCAATAGATTGGCCTTCTTGCTCTCCTGTCTCTCAGTTCCCTGACTAGACGCTGGCTTCCCTCCCAGCCACGCTGCCTGGAATGCTCTCCATCCCTCACTTCCACGACCTGGCTTTTTCAAGTGTTAGCTCAAATCTCACCTTCTGCAAGTGGATCTTCCCAGTGCACCTGGTGCTGGTGTCTTCCCTCTGTGACTTTCCTCCCTAGAACCTCCCATTTACTTGGCATCTGTCTTTTAAATGAAGCAGGAGAGGGAGCACCTCTGATAGCGTCTCTCCTTGTGCTGAGGGTGGAAGCATGTTCCCAGGAGATGCATGATGATGTCAGTAACCTATGGCTCAAAGCCCACGGGTAGAAGACTCCTCATTGGCCAAGACTGATTAATCAGTACTCCTTGTCTGCATGAGGCAAAAATGGCATGAGCTTGGGTAAAGGGAGATCCTGGTCCTCTGGCTTCCAGCTTCCAGAGAGAAGATACCCAGTTCCAAATTTTCTTCAGGTCCCTGAAGGGAGGGAAAGAGCCACCGTGCAGAAGAGCCAGTGTCTTGACCAGGTTCATACCCTAGAGACCTCAGAGAATTTCCTCTGAGTGAGATCTGGGACTCCCTCTCTCCAGGTTGAGCTGAGATATCTCACTCCTAGTAAGAGAGTAGGAGAGCTTATTCACTCTGTATACTGTCTGGTACACGTCTGGTACATCTAAATACCTTCTCTGATTTATGTTTGCTACCACCTGGGATAAATGGATGTATTTGCTATTTGCCACGTGTGTCATTGGGGCAGCTAGATGGCACAGTGGGTAGAACGCCAGGCCTGGAGTCAGGAGAATCTGAGTTCAAATCCAGCCTCAGACACTAACTAGCTGTGTGACCCTAACCCTATTTGCCATAGTTTTCTCCTCTGTAAAATGAGCTGGAGAAGGAAATGGCAAACGACTCCAGCATCTTTGCCAGGAAAATTCCAAATGGGGCCACAAAGAGTCAGACGTGATTGAAAAATGACTGACAACAACAGGTGTGTTCATTGTGGAACCGACATTTAGTGGGAAGGAAGTCAAGCCTCAGATATGTAGCTTGGGGTACCCTTTTCCTGTTAAGAAACAGGAATATGGAATTTGGCTTTGACCTAGGCTAACAATATTCAAGGGGCCTGTTGAGTCATTGACTCCTCCAACTGGATTCAGTCAAAGGGCTGCTCAGGTCTCTCTGAGCGTCCTGTCCAAACAGCCTCCTGTGGACACACAACCTACATGAGCAACCAAAGCACCCATGCACATCGCCCCGTCATGTGTGTAAGGTAGCGCTTTGCAGAGACTATGGAGAATGCACCCACATTCCACACCCAGCTGTGACTGGCCAGCCGTGGGGACAGTGGGCGAGGCTTCCCAAAGCCTCCCTCCCACCACCACTGAGGGCCTGCATCTTGATGGCTGTTTGGGTGCTTTGCTGGAGGTGCCTGGGGAGAGACAACATGGAAAAGGCAGTGGCCTCGGGTCCTGACGCCTGCCTTCAGTCTTTCCTCTTCCAGGTGAAAGAATCGAGCCTTCTCACATTAATCACATTCAAAATTTTCCTCCTTGGCATGCATTTTCAGGTGTTGAATGAGGTCTGAGACCTGACAAGTTTCCTTATAGATAGATAGATAGATAGATAGATAGATAGATAGATAGATAGATAGAGATAGAAAGACAGATGGATAGATAGACAGATAGAGATGGGGATATAGATATTGCATTCAGAAGGTTTCTGGGCAATGTGAATTTTCTGCTGTGCAGTAAGGCATGACCTCAGGTGGAGAGCCTAACCATATTCATTGCATCCATAAGATGTCTCTATAATACAAATTCTACAATGGGCAGTAAAGTATGAGCTATTACATTCATAGTTTTTTCCCATTATGAAGTCTCTGATGCCTGGGAAGTTCATTCTTTTCACACAACTGACTTACCATATTTGTAAGATTCACATGACTTCTCCCCGTCATGACTTTTTTTTAACATTGAGTCAGAAGTTCCCATAGAAGGAATCCCTACATTTATTACATTCATAATATTCCTCTTTGGAATGGCTTTGCTAATGCCAAATAAGACATGTGCTCCAATAGAAAGTCTTCTCTAATTCATCACATTCATGGGTTTCTTCACACAGGAGAAGGACAGGAAGGAATGGATGCATTGGTGTTGCAGACTTTCCCACCTTCATCAACTCTATTCTATGATGCTATTTTCAGTTGTAACTGAAAGCTGTCATGTTCATCCCAACTTGAACATAACGTCTTTGAGCAGATACGACGATATTTACAAAGAACTGAATAGTGTCTGATGCTCTTTCTAGGTTTATTACCTGTAGCTAGAACAGATTAGCCTGAGACGAGAGCTTGGCCACGTTCACTAGATTCACGGCCTTCCTGCTTTATTGGGAGTCGTCCTACAGGTGACTTTTACTTACTTGGAGTGTTTCTCCTCTTCGCTCCGCTTCTTCCAATCTTCTCCCAACGTAGAGACACAGGGGCCGTCCCTTAGGAGTCTGTCCTGGGAAAAGGTTTCCATGGAAACCTGGCTTTCTGCTTTTAGGCCTTGTCTCCCAACCTGAAAGAAACAGGAGATACACACGTTTCCTGCTCTCCGTGTTGAATACTTCATGCAATCAGTTGCTTCCTCCTTTAAGAACAACGATGGGCAACTTTACAAGGTTAAAACAAATATTAACAACAAACAACATTTCTTTAAAGAATGATTCTGCACAATAAGGGTTACCTCATGGAATCCTAGCGGGAGGTCTGGAAGAGATCTGGGAGATCATCTCGTCCAGTCTCCTCATTTTGCTGGTATGGAAACTCAGATCACAGAAATTAGGGTATTGTATCTTTGAAGTTATTTCTCTATTTTATTTGCATTTCCCATTTTGCTAGAATATAACAGCATATAGTAGGTTCTGTTAATTCTTTTTCTTACACTGTGATTTGGCCTTGTTCATTTGCTGTTTTGTTGATTTAATTTTCTGCCCTCTTTTTAGTCAGGCTGGCTAAAGGTTTATCAATTTTGCTAGTTTTTTCAAAAAAGTAATTTTGTTTCTCATTTTTGCAGTTTTTTTCACTTATAATTTCTCTATTTCTCCTCTAATTTTTGACATCTCCTATTTTGTGCTTGTTTGGGAATCATTTGGCTTTCTAGACTTTAAAAATACATATTCAACTCATTAATCCTCTCCATTTCTTTTCATAAGTAGTATTTTTATTTATTTACTTTTTAAAGCACAGAGACTTTTATCCTTTTGTTCAGATCCAAATTCTCTCCCTCCCGCTAAACGCTCCCCATCCTAATGAGAAGACAGGAAAAACAAAAGTTATGAATATCTATAATCATGCAAAACAAATTTCTGTGTTAGCCATGTTCTGATAAAAAAAAGAAAAAAGAGAGAAAGAGAAAAAATATGACTCAGTTTGCTCTTTGAGTTCAGCACTTTTCTATCTGGAGGTAGACAGTATGTTTCATCATGAGTCCTTTGGAATTGCGGTAGATCATTGGGTTGATCAAAATTACTAAGTCTTTCACTCATATTACATTCAGAAGGTTTCTCTGTAGTGTGAATTTTCTGGTGTGCAGTAAAACATTCTATTCTTTTCATTATCTTACAATATTGACGTTACTGTATAAATTATTCTCCTGGTTCTGCTTACTTCAGTTTGCTTCACTTTTACAAGTCTTTGTAGATTTTTATAAAATCATCCCCTTCATCATTTCTTATAGCACAACAGTATTCCATCAGATTCGTATACCATAACTCGTTCAGCCATTCTCAACTGATGGGCATGCCCTCAGTTTCTAACTGTTTGCTACTGCAAAAAGAGCTGCTATAAATATGTTTGAAAATGGAAGTCCATTTCCTTTTTGTTTGATCTCTTTGGGAATATGTTTCTAGCAGTGGTTTTACGAGGTCAAAAAGCATGCACCTTTTGATAGTTTTTTTTTGGGCATAATTCCAAGTTGCTTCCCAAATAGTTGGAGCAGCTCTTAGTTCCACCAATAGTACATTAGTGTGCCTATTTTCCCATATCTCCTCCAGCATTTGCCATTTTCCCTTTTTTGTCTTCTTGATCAATCTGATAGGTTTGAGATTATACCTTAGAATTGTCTCAATTTGCATTTCTCTAATTTTTAGTGATTTATTGGATTTTATACGGTTATTGATAACTTTTATTTATTCATTATTTATTAATTCATTTATAAACTGGTTATTTATATCCTTTGCCCATTTATCAACTGGGGAATGGCTCTTATTCTTGTAGATTTGACTCAGTTCCCTATATATTTTAGAAATGCGATGTTTATCAGAGAAATTTGTTGCAAAAATTCTTCAGTTTCCTGTTTTTCTTCTAATTTTAGTTGCATTGGTTCTGTTAGTACAAAAACTTTTAAATTTTATGTAATCAAAATTATCTATTTTACTTCTTGTGAACCTCCCTGTCTCTCGTTTGGTCAAGAACTCTTCCTATTCAGAGATCCAACAGGTAATTTCTTCTCTGCTCCACTACTTTGCTTATGGTATCACCCTTTATGTCTAAATCATGCACCCATAATCCTCTCTTTTTTGATTTTGTTAGTGTGTGTTTGGGGGATATAATTATTCTCAGAAATTATGGTATGTTGTTTCATCATTATTTTATTTCACATAATTAATTTAAAAACATTTATTTATTTATTTTTCCAATTAACAATTATTTTCTTTCTCTACCTGTCTCTTCCCTCACCTCCTCTCAACCCCTGCTTAATGGAAAAACAGAAAAACAAAACCCTTGTGAAAATATTCATAATGAAATAAAACAAAGTCCCACACTGGCCACATAAAACATGTATGTTTCTCCTTCTTGAGTCTATCACTTCTCTGTCAGGAGAGGGGTAGAATCCTTTGTCATTGGTCTTCTAGAATCATCTTTCACATAATTATTGATAGTTTCTATGATTTGTTCATTAATCCACCCATTATTTATAATTTCATTGTTAAGTTTCCATTTACATCTTTGCCTTTTGTTAGTACTCCCTAAACTGATTACACTTTTTATTGCATTATGGTTTGTAAAGGATATTTAGTATTTCCATCCATTTTCATGTATTTGCAATTATCTCTGTTATAATCTATGGTCACTTTTGTTTTGTAGGCAATGGGGTTAAGTGACTTGCCCAAAGTCACACAGCTAGTAAGTTGGTCACCTTTTTTGTAAAAAGTTTCATGTGGTACTGAGAAATATGTATATTCTTTAGCAGTTCCATTTAAGATAATAATAATGATAAATTAATTAATCAATAAACATTTATTAAACATCTACTATTGCTAGGCACTGTGCTAAGTGCTGGGGATACAAAAAGAGGCAAAAAACAGTCCCTGCCCTCGAGATACTTACAATCTAATGGGGGAGACAATATGAAAAACAAAGACATACATACATACCTACATGTGTGTATGTATATATATATACACATACGTACAGAATAAATAGAAAGTAATTAACAGAGGGAAGGCACTGGAGTTAAAAGAGGGTGGTGAAGGCTTTTTGGTGAAGGTGGGATTTTAGTTGGGATCTAAAGAAAGCCAGGGAGGACAATAGTCTGAGTGGAGGAAGGAAAGTATTCTAGGCATGGTGGCCAGCCAGAGAAAGTGCCCAGAGTCAAGAGATAGAGTGTCTTGTCCATGGAACATCCAGGAGGCCAGTGCCAATGGATCAAAGAGTCCATGGTGGGGAGTAAAGTGTAAGAAGACTGGAAAGGTAGGAGGGGCTCAGGTTATGGGCTCTGACTGCCAAAGTGTTTTGTATTTGATCCTGGAGGCAAAAGGAAGCCACTGGAAGTTTACTGAGTAGGGAATGGGGTGGGGTGACAATCAGATCTGTGCTTTAGTTAAATCACTTCAAAGGGTGAATACAGGAGGGCCTGGAGAGGGGAAGAGACTTTAAATGGGCGGTCCCACCACCAAGTTATGGCAGTAATTAAGGCATGAGATTGTGAAGGCCCGCCCTAGGAGTGTGTCAGAGGAGAGGAGGGGGCATATTCAGGAAAGGTTGCCAAGGTGAAGGCCACAGGCCTTGGCAATGATTGGATATGGGGGAGGGGTGGAAGAGAATGAGGAACACCAGGTCCTGAGTCATAAGCCTGAGGGCCCAGGAGATGGTGGTGCCCTCTACAGTAACAGGGACGGTTTAGAAGGAAAGATCACGAGTTCTGTCTTGGACATAGTGAGTGTAAGGTGTCTATTGGAGATGCAAGATTGGAGGTCAGCAGAGAGATTGGGGGAAGAAAAGCAGACTTGAGAATCATCAGCATAAAGACGGTCATTAAATCCATGGGAGCTGATGAGACCACCAAGTAAAATAGCATAGAGAGAGAAGAGAAAAGGGCCCATGACAGAGCCCTGAGGGACACCTACAGAGGAGGATCCAGCAAAGGGGACAAAGGAGCGTTCAGAGAGGTAGGAAGAGAACCCAGAGAGAGGTGTTCCAAAAATCTAGAGAAGAGAATATCAGGGAGGAGAGAGTGATCAACAGCAGCAAAGGCTGCAGACAGGTCAAGGAGAATGAGGACTGAGGAAAGGCAAAAGGCCACTGGAGTCGGCAAATAAGAGACCACCGGTAACTTTGGAGAGAGCCATTAGGGTGGAATGATGAGGCTGGAAGCTAGATTGTAAGGGCTTACAGAAGAGTCCCAAGAGGGAAATGGAGGCACCAACTGTATGGCCTTTTCAGGGAGTTTAGCTACAAAGGACAGAAGAGAAGTAGAATGACGGTGGGGATGGAATGATCAAATGAGTTTTTTTCAGGATGAGGGAGACCTGGGCATGTTTGAAGGAAGGGAATGAGCCAGCAGAGAGGGAGAGACTGAAACAGATGACAGAGTGGGGATGACAGAGAATGGGGAATCTGCTGGAGGAGATGGGATGGAACTGGATCACTTGAACAAGTAGAGGGCTGGTCTTGGTCAAGAGTAAAGGCCGCTTCATCACGTGACGATGACAATAACCAACATGTGAAACTTTAAAGTTTCCAAAGCGTTTTATTAACATTATCTCACTGAATCCTCCCAACATCCCTTGGAGGGGGGTGCTGTTATCATCTTCTTTTTCCAGATGAGGAACCTGAGGCGGACAAAGGGGAAGTGACTGGCCCAGGGTCACGCAGCTATTAAGTGTCTGAGGCTGGTTTTGAATGCAGGTGTTCCTGACTCTAATTCTGGAACTCCACTCATGATGCCACCATTTCTTCAACAGTTTCTTAAATTTTATATTTTCCCTTTAGCTATCTTTCTCTTAGACTCATCCAAAAATTAAATAACCCATCCAAGGTCATACAGCTAATCAATAACAGAGGCCTCAAATCTGCATATAAAATTTACCCCAGTGGTCATTTCTGTTCACCATGTTGCCTCCCTACAAGGAAGTGAATTCACTGTATACAGAAACATTTAAGCAGAGGGTGAATAACTATCAATTACAGATGGCATTGAGAAGGTTCTTACATTGGGTGGTAAAATGGCATGGACTGCCGCTTAGCTTTCTAGCAGCTCTAAGAGTTTACACATATAAATCCTTCTTGTTCATC